TGCGCCGAGAAACTATTAGCTTTTTCACAGCGCCGCGACTTTCGTCGCAGTCTTTATTTTTTGATTACAGAGATTAAGGGATGAAACGGTGGTAGCTGTATGGGGAATTTAATTCTCCATCGAACAGCGTTGGATTCATTCCTCAATATTAATTAGGAGGGGAGAGACGATTTTTTAATTAGCGGGCGAATTATCGGGAGTCACTGCGCCGAGAAACTATTAGCTTTTTCACAGCGCCGCGACTTTCGTCGCAGTCTTTATTTTTTGATTACAGAGATTAAGGGATGAAACGGTGGTAGCTGTATGGGGAATTTAATTCTCCATCGAACAGCGTTGGATTCATTCCTCAATATTAATTAGGAGGGGAGAGACGATTTTTTAATTAGCGGGCGAATTATCGGGAGTCACTGCGCCGAGAAACTATTAGCTTTTTCACAGCGCCGCGACTTTCGTCGCAGTCTTTATTTTTTGATTACAGAGATTAAGGGATGAAACGGTGGTAGCTGTATGGGGAATTTAATTCTCCATCGAACAGCGTTGGATTCATTCCTCAATATTAATTAGGAGGGGAGAGACGATTTTTTAATTAGCGGGCGAATTATCGGGAGTCACTGCGCCGAGAAACTATTAGCTTTTTCACAGCGCCGCGACTTTCGTCGCAGTCTTTATTTTTTGATTACAGAGATTAAGGGATGAAACGGTGGTAGCTGTATGGGGAATTTAATTCTCCATCGAACAGCGTTGGATTCATTCCTCAATATTAATTAGGAGGGGAGAGACGATTTTTTAATTAGCGGGCGAATTATCGGGAGTCACTGCGCCGAGAAACTATTAGCTTTTTCACAGCGCCGCGACTTTCGTCGCAGTCTTTATTTTTTGATTACAGAGATTAAGGGATGAAACGGTGGTAGCTGTATGGGGAATTTAATTCTCCATCGAACAGCGTTGGATTCATTCCTCAATATTAATTAGGAGGGGAGAGACGATTTTTTAATTAGCGGGCGAATTATCGGGAGTCACTGCGCCGAGAAACTATTAGCTTTTTCACAGCGCCGCGACTTTCGTCGCAGTCTTTATTTTTTGATTACAGAGATTAAGGGATGAAACGGTGGTAGCTGTATGGGGAATTTAATTCTCCATCGAACAGCGTTGGATTCATTCCTCAATATTAATTAGGAGGGGAGAGACGATTTTTTAATTAGCGGGCGAATTATCGGGAGTCACTGCGCCGAGAAACTATTAGCTTTTTCACAGCGCCGCGACTTTCGTCGCAGTCTTTATTTTTTGATTACAGAGATTAAGGGATGAAACGGTGGTAGCTGTATGGGGAATTTAATTCTCCATCGAACAGCGTTGGATTCATTCCTCAATATTAATTAGGAGGGGAGAGACGATTTTTTAATTAGCGGGCGAATTATCGGGAGTCACTGCGCCGAGAAACTATTAGCTTTTTCACAGCGCCGCGACTTTCGTCGCAGTCTTTATTTTTTGATTACAGAGATTAAGGGATGAAACGGTGGTAGCTGTATGGGGAATTTAATTCTCCATCGAACAGCGTTGGATTCATTCCTCAATATTAATTAGGAGGGGAGAGACGATTTTTTAATTAGCGGGCGAATTATCGGGAGTCACTGCGCCGAGAAACTATTAGCTTTTTCACAGCGCCGCGACTTTCGTCGCAGTCTTTATTTTTTGATTACAGAGATTAAGGGATGAAACGGTGGTAGCTGTATGGGGAATTTAATTCTCCATCGAACAGCGTTGGATTCATTCCTCAATATTAATTAGGAGGGGAGAGACGATTTTTTAATTAGCGGGCGAATTATCGGGAGTCACTGCGCCGAGAAACTATTAGCTTTTTCACAGCGCCGCGACTTTCGTCGCAGTCTTTATTTTTTGATTACAGAGATTAAGGGATGAAACGGTGGTAGCTGTATGGGGAATTTAATTCTCCATCGAACAGCGTTGGATTCATTCCTCAATATTAATTAGGAGGGGAGAGACGATTTTTTAATTAGCGGGCGAATTATCGGGAGTCACTGCGCCGAGAAACTATTAGCTTTTTCACAGCGCCGCGACTTTCGTCGCAGTCTTTATTTTTTGATTACAGAGATTAAGGGATGAAACGGTGGTAGCTGTATGGGGAATTTAATTCTCCATCGAACAGCGTTGGATTCATTCCTCAATATTAATTAGGAGGGGAGAGACGATTTTTTAATTAGCGGGCGAATTATCGGGAGTCACTGCGCCGAGAAACTATTAGCTTTTTCACAGCGCCGCGACTTTCGTAGCAGTTTTTATTTTTTGATTACCAAGATTAAGGGATGAAACGGAAATTGCTGTATGGGGAATTTAATTCTCCATCGAACAACATTGGTTTCATTCCTTAATGTTAATTAGGCGGGGAGAGACGATTTTTTAATTAGCGGGCGAGTTATCGGGAGTCACTGCGCCGAGAGACCATTAGGTTTTTCATTCACTGAGAGAAAAAATTACCTCTGCCTAAAAGATAAATGTTCACCTGTACAAAATTTTCTGGTCTCAAGATTATTATTCCCCACGAGAAAATATTCTGCAGCAAAAAATTTATTCTTTCCACTTGAAAATCTGACAGGGGCATATGAATACATATTCTTTCGAGTAGAATAACAAGATTCAAATATCATGATAAATAATAATCTGTTTGACTGCAAACCAAAAAATTTTCCCTGAAGCAAAAGTTTGAGCTGACAGAAAAAACATTCTTTCAGCAAAAATACGACTGTATAATCTCTACTGCGACTTTCTCTATTATTTCCAATATTACTCATTTGTTTCTCCGCCATTGATAGTTATTGAGTGAGAAATCAAACTCTAGTTCTGAGGTCACAAATGGATAAGTTTGAGAAGATCAAACCTCAGATTCACAGAAAATTTCAAAACCTTTTACGAAGCTTTTTTGTAATCAGCGGAATAGTGTACTTCTTTTCCGCTTGACTTGTGTACGTGAAAAAAAAAAACAGATTTTGAGGCGATAAATTATTTATCTATTTAGATCAAACTATACGTTGACTCCACGTATCTTATATTATTAGACGAACTTATTTCGATATTTTTGAGCGGAATAAATATATTTTCGTCAGAGGTAATTTTTTCTCTCAGTGTTGCGCCGTGACTTTCGTCGCAGTTTTTATTTTTTTATTACAGAGATTAAGGGATGAAACGGGGGTTGCTGGATGGGGAATTTAAGTCTCCATCGAACAGCATTGGTTTCATTCCTTAATGTTAATTAGGAGGGGAGAGACGATTTTTTAATTAGCGGGCGAATTATCGGGAGTCACTGCGCCGAGAAACCATTAGCTTTTTCACAGCGCCGCGATTTTCGTCGCAGTTTTTATTTTTTGATTACAGAAATTAAGGGATGAAACGTGGATTACTGTATGGGGAATTTAATTCTCCATCGAACAGCATTGGTTTCATTCCTTAATATTAATTAGGAGGGGAGAGACGATTTTTTAATTGGCGGGCTTATTATTGGGGTGGCACCCTGCGCCGAGAAACCATTGGGTTTCTCATAGCGGCGGTTTTTATTACAGAGATTAAGGGATGACAACGGGGGTTGCTGGATGGGGTAATTTAATTCTCCATCGAACAGCGTTGGTTTCATTCCTTAATATTAATTAGGAGGAGAGAGACGATTTTTTAATTGGAGTTATCCATTAAGTTTTTCATAGCGCCGTAAATTGCGTTGCAGTTTTTAATTTTCTATTGCAGTGATTAAGGGATGAAACGGGGGTTGCTGGATGGGGAATTTAATTCTCCATCGAACAG